ACGGGGTCCCCTCGACCACAGCACTTCACCACACGCGGCGAACTCGGGGAGGGGGCTAGGCGGTACACATTCAGTGGCGGCAGCTGAAATAACATGGCAAGCATCAACGATGCTGAGGCAGGCAGGGCATCTCCATTTGTCTGCACAGCGCTCGAATTTGTGCTGAGAAGCCGCGATCGCGGTCTGCAACTGCGAGCGCGGGGCAGCCTCCTGGTGGGGTTGCCTCTCTGGCCACTGCCCTCGGAGGTCCGAATTCTTGCCTAAGGTACGTAGAATCAGTCGCCCTCTCTGTCGGACGATGGCAGCGATAGCGTCGTATTCATCGGTCCTGGGGACGGGCGGGAGGGCGAGGGTGGCCGACTTGTGGGCCGCTCTTCCCGCAAGCTCGTCGGCATGCTGGTTTCCGAGAGCCAGAAATTTTTGGAAGCCATGCAGCGTGAGAGGATCGGCGTGAGATGGGGTCCAGAGCACCGTGACAGAGGCGCCGCCGCCAGATCGATCTTGCACGAGGTGCCGAATTCTCAGCCAGAGATCTCCATTCTTATTCTTGCCTCTGAGGCTGCCAGGTCTGAGACATCTGCCATTCTGCCAGCCGCGCTGCAGGGCTAGATGATCGGTAACAAACGTAAACTCCTGGTGGCACGTCTCCAGTGCCAAGCAAAACGCATGCAATTCACCTCTTGGGACAGTCTGGCGGGGGCCTGGGAGGGGGGCGAGGAGGCCCGCGTGGAGGGTCCAGGAGGCCGAGGGAGGGTCCCATCGGAGGGCCGCGAGGCCAGAACCAACACGGCGTCGCCTGACGTCGTCGGAAAATGCGCCTCCAGACCCGTCGCCGAAAAGAAATAACTCGCCCTCAGCGTTACGAGCTTCTTCCCATGACGGCAACCCCTCCCGCACCGCACCAACAAACTCCCACCCGTCCCTCCCAGTCAATGGCTCGAACGCGGGCGTAGTGAGAGCGACAGAGGGGATGCCACGGAGCCAAAGGGCAGGGTCTGCATTGGCTCCCGCCACGGCTCGCGGTAGTAGTTTGTCGCTGGCCTCAAAATCAGGTCCCACATTCGCCTCGCACTGCCACATTCGGTGAAACAAGGTCTCAGGTACTCCTGCACTGCATCGGTCACAGTTCTTGTCGATCTGGTAGCCCGCGTTGTAGAGGCGGTCCCTGGTCCATTGTCCACCACTGATGACGGTGTTGTTGAGGGCCCAATCGCTGAAATCTCCGTTTGCGAGGCACCTCCTTTGTTCGATGCGTATGGTGACCATGTCCGCGCCTCCAGCCAGCGTGTCACCATGGTCATGCGTAGCGGCCTGAGTCCAGAGGAGCCTGTGCAAATCCTCGCTGAGGTCCTGCAATACTGTGTGGATGTCGGCGTCGAGGAGATCAGGGTCATCGGCGGGGGGAAGGTTCCACTCCTCGATGTAGCCGTCCTTCGTGCGTCTCCACGTAGTAGCTGTAGTCGGGTCCCAGCTGGCCTCCAGCAAGGTCGCGATGGCCGCGCCTGTGGGCCCTTTGACCCTGCACCACAGCTTGGGGCCCGCGGCTAGCAGGGTGGTCTTGATCCTTGGCCATGCTCTGATAATCCTGGCGTGCGTGCTCGGGTGCCGTATCCAGGGGGACGAGGAGGAGGGGGAGGAGGAGGAGGAGGAGGAGGAGGAGGAGGAGGAGGAGGAGGAGGAGGAGGAGGAGGAGGACGAGGAGGAGGGGAGGAGGGGGAGGGCGAGGCCCTGCCGGGGCCTGCGAAGAGGCCGCGCCCCGCGGGGCCGCCCCGGGGCGGCGCGGAGCGATCGGCGGCGCGTGCGCGCCGCCCCGGCGCGGCCGCCCGAGGGCCGAGGGCCCGCGGGCGCCGCTCCGCTGGGCGTCGCCCCCCGCGGGCGCTCCGTGGGCGGCGGCGGTCCTCCTCCTCCTAGGAGGAGGAGGAGGAGGAGGGAGGAGGAGGAGGAGGAGGAGGAGGAGGAGGAGGAGGAGGAGGAGAGAGGAGGAGGAGGAGGGGTGAGGATGAGGAGGAGGAGGAGGAGGCGGAGGAGCAGGATGAAGAAAGCCATCCCCCCCCCGCACGAGCGACGCTCAAAACCTACAGGGCAACTTTTGATACATGGGATTTGTTTAACGTGTCCCGGCAAGGCAACCGAACGGCGATGTGCAGGAGCAGATCTGGGAGCATTCCCCTCAAGATCTAAATGAGAATCCTGTTGTAGAATTCTGCTGTTCTCGCAGTCGTAGTCGCATTCGCGATGGCAGTCGCAGTGGCAACGGCAGTCGCAGTCAGGGCAGCTTTTAATAAATGGGATTTTTAAACATATAGGATTTTGGATGCATGGTTAATGTATGCATAAAGTTATGCATGAACTCATCGCTGTCTTTATGGCTAAGTCCCTGCATTTGCAATACATGATCCGCACGCGGAGCATGTATTAAAAAACGGCACCGTAACTGGAACCGGCAGGCGGCACAGTGCTCGGCCAGTTCGGAGGGTTCGGAGCTCCTCGCCGTCGCCGTCGCCCTTCGGCCGAGAGGTGCCGCCCATGGGCGACCCGTTCGGCTCTGAGCGGATGCTCGGCTCCGATCCACCGGCGTGCCCGCGTGGGCATTGCGCGAGATGGCGGAGCCACGATGCGCGATGGCCTGCGCGGGCCGCCAGCGCGCCACGCTACGCGACCCTACGCGGGCAGCTTATGACTACCTACCAGACCACCCCAACCCAACCCGAAGACCCGAATCTGACCCGAATTTCGGGTTGGGGGGGTACGGGTTCCATGTGTTTTTTCAACGTTCCCCGACCCCCCCCCCACTGGAAATGGAGGGCAAATCGAGGCCTTCGGGTTGGGTTGGGGTGGCTTGGTGGGTGGTGAGCTTACGCGCCAGCGTCGGCGCAAACGACCCCTCTTTTGCGTCGCTCACGTGACACGACCCTCTTTAGCGTCGCTCACGTGCGACGGCGCTGCGCTGGACCGCCCGTGGGCCCACTGGGAGGAGGCAGGGGAGGGCGCAGGAGGGGATGAGGCGGGAGGGGCAAGCTGAGGTCAGCAGCAAGTACTCCAGATTTCGTAATAAAGGGAGGGGGGTCTCATCTCGGGGGGGGGTCTCTTCCAGGCTATCTTGGAGGGCCTGGGGGGGTCTGGGGACGATGTTTTGGAGGGTTCTCCCATGGGGGGAGGTCTGAAATGGCTTGTATTGGAGGGTCCAGGCCCCCTCCCTTTTATTACGAAATCTGGAGTACCCTGCTCAAACCGAAGACCCCACCAAAGAGGAGAACTGGGGAAGGAAGCGACAAGAGAAGCAGGAAGGGAAAGGAGGTCACAGCCAGGGGGGGGTGAGAGAAGCCAGGACGAAAAAGATAATGATGAGGTCAACGACGGGAACCAACATGTGCTCCGTTCAAAACGCGAGCTCTACCGAAAGAGAATGGATGGCTTTTCTCTGCCTAGGGGATGGAAACGGCTGCACTAGTACATCAAATATGCGAGCTGTTCTGTGGACGCTCCTCCCACCATGCCTGAACCTCCGCCGCCTCTATGTCAATCACCCCCACACGTCTCCTCCACCACCTCCTGGTACACTCCTTCAGGGTAACCTATCCAGGTGGACCCTGCGGTTCAGAGTCTGCTGAGAGGGGGAAGCGTGAGGAACTGAAGGAAGCAACCACAAAGAGCAGAGGATGACAAGACACATTCGAATCCACGTCCAGATCCAGCCGCACAGGCACACAACGTACTGCAACCCAGCAAGCCACATGGGCACAACTGGGGGCAGCTCCTGTGCAGAGGAGGGCCATAGTTGCCCGCAGGCCTGCGATCCTTGCACACCATTCCTTTCCACTCCACCTCCTCTCCCCGAATCCTTCTTCTCCCCCTCCCCCTTCTCCTCCCACTTCTCCTCCCCCATCCCCCTCCCTTCAACTCCCCTTTCCCCTGCCAACTGCACTGTCGCCCCCCCGGCTGCCAAACTGCACCTTCGCGCACGTCCTGCTCCGTCTGGACTTCTACCATCTCTCTCTGCAGCAAGTCGAGCGACGCGTCCCACAAGTCGGCCTCGCGACCACCCTACCTCCACCTCCTCCCCATCCTCCTCCTCGCCCTCCTCCTCATTATCGTCACCATCATCATCATCATCATCATCATCATCATCATCATCATCATCATCATCATCATCATCATCATCATCATCATCATCATCATCAGCCTTATCATCATCACCACCAGCAACATCACCACAATCACCATCACCATCACCATCGCCATCACCATCATCATCAACAATGTCAACATCGTCATGATCATTATCATTTTCCGTATCAGTATCATCATCAGAGTCAACATCATCACCATCAGCATCTTCCTCCCCGCCCCATCCTCCTGGTCATCGTGCGTAGCGGTTTCCTTTGCACACATATATATATACGTATACACGTGTATGAGTGTGCGTGTATATGTGCATGTGTATATGTACGTATGTATATTTATGTATCTATATGAGTGTATGTATGTATTGATGTGTATATATATATATGTGTGTCGGCATGTATGTGTGTATGCGTGTGTGTATATGTGTATGGTTGTACGTAGGTGTGTATGCATGTCCTTATGTTTGTAGGTAGATCGGAAAAATAGGTATGTATGCATGTATGTATCATAGTATGAATGCGTGTAACTGAATAGATAGATGCGCGTTTGTATATATAGGTGTAGGTGCATGTGCATGTGTATGTGAGTATGTGTATGCATGGATGCATGGATGTATGTTTGTTCGTATGTATGTATGTATGTATGCATGTATGTATGTGTGTATGTGTTTGTGTGTATGTGTATGTCTATGTGTATGTGTATGTGTGTATGTGTGTATGTGTGTATGTGCGTATGTATGTATGTATGCATGCATGTATGTGTGTATGTATGCATGTATGTATGTATATGAATGTTTGTATGTATGTATGACTGCATGCGTGTAAGTATGTATGTATGTATGTATGTATGTATGAATGAATGAATGAATGTGTACA